ACTCGTGATGAGAGATGACACCGACGGACACTGCTCGACACCCCCGGCCGAAATCATCACACCCTTCACGGACAAGCAAGAACCGTACAAGATCTCGACAGGTCCTGGAAACCTCACTGCCTCGCCCTTTAGCAACACGCTCGCAATGATTCGCTGGAATGCGAAGCGCATGGAGCGCGTGCCTCTCCTCATGAAATACAAGCCCTTTTACCACACCGTCCACATCTCCATGCCGGAGATGGTCGAGGATAAGCCCGAAGACTGGCACAATCTCACGCACTCGCAGTACCCACACCACGAAACAATTTACATGCAAGTCGCCAGGACGATGAAGCTCATACTCGACGAGCAACCCGATATCGAAGGATTGATGTACTTCCACTTCGATTCCTGGATCGACCCGATGGCTTGGGTAGATGAGAATCGCGAGTCCATCTGGTTCCCGACATCTCACAACACGCGGCAGTTCGAGGGCGACGGCCCGCGGTACATGTGTATGACGGACTGGCAGAAGTTTCCGCAATGGTGGGGTTGGTACCACAAGTGGAACGAGAAGGCCGTCACCGTCAACGGCGAAATTATCCGGATGAACCGCGGCTACACGATCGAGGAAAAGGAGTTTTGCGTAGGCTGGTCAGACATTTTCTACATTCCTCGACGTTTCTTTGCCGACTTTATTTTTCTGTCATCGGTCTACGGTTGCGCGGACCTGTTCCACGAGGTCGCAATTCCGACGATGCTCAACATTATCGACCGGAGCCGGAGGAGCGAGAAGGCCAAGTTCCAGTCGGTCATTGACCGAATCGGAGACTGCTGGGGAGGATGCTGCGATGATTCAGCAACGGCGCATGACGTCAAGTGGACGAGGTGTGGTCACAGGCTGAATTACTTGAACCAGGAGGTGATTGATGCGCATTACAGCCGGTTGGACGAGCAAACTGCATGGCTTGGTCAGGCTGAGAGACAAAAGTCTGGAGGCGAAAGGCGTTGATGGTTTGTTTTGTGGAACATAGGTCTATCGGGGCATTAGAGTGGACATAGCGTGTATTTGTTTCTGGCACTTGTAACATTATTTGAGGTGCAAAAAGTATCTAGCATTGAAACGGACAGAACATAACTTGAAGGAATTGAACACGACAATTGTATCTTAGTTGATCGGAGGTACTGTCTTTGCACGTGCAACAGCGAATCAGCAACTTGAAGTACGCTCAGGTATTGAAGCTTCGAACTACACTATTGAGGCAGGGTGTAGAAGAGGTACGGACGGTGATCATGTTGAAGTATTGAGCGGGTGTCTTGGCTGCGTCACTGTTTGTAGTACACCATGTCGGATGTTTGTTTAATGTAGCTCCGCATGTACCTGGCAAACACTGCCCAACATCAATCTATTACTAACACAGACAAAGAGAGAATGCTGAGATCTCTTGCTGGTGTGACAAATTCAGATGCCATCATTTCATCCATCGTCAAAATCGGTAGGTGCCTCAAGACGCTCGTGACATAGAACTTACATGATAACTGTCTTGATTTGGCCAAACCAACGAACGGTCACTACCTAAGTAAAATAGTTTCAAGCTGCTAAAAGTTATCTCTATACCTGCTTCAACTTGGCAATTTGCTTCTCCTGCACTCCCTTGGGTAGTACCAAAGTTCAGTTCGTGCTGATGATTGATCGCAAGGGGTTCTCGATGGTTACACAAGTGTTATACATGTGGACAAAGTATCGTAGCTGAGCTAGCGTGGTCATCATCGCATATATGCCTTAATGATATTTTTTGGTCATCTCATAGTGGATTTTCTCAAGGAAAGAACAAAGGCATATGGACTTGATGGCCGTCGTTTGCTCCTTCCACCTATGTCGTTACTCAGTCAACACAACTTTTCAAGGCAGCGATGGCGGTCAGTTGGAGATACAAGACAGTTTTTTGCATTCAAACGCCTTTACAGAATACTCTTTGAGTATTTATACGTTGAATCAGTAGCTTTCAGAACTCCCTACCTTTCTTCAATATCTCACCTCCCACCGCCATTGCCTGTTAACGAGATCTCCTTCCACTATTTACATCATCAATCACAACCAAGAAACAGATAGCACAGCCTCTAAAATGAGATTTCAAGGTAAGTTTGTTCAAATCCACTCAAGTATCCATCATGAAGAAAGCCTGACAGTAAATCACAGTTCTTCTCACTGGTGCTACCGCCCTTGCCATTGGCGTCGCTGCCGGCCCCAGCATGAACCCCCACAAGATCCGTCAGGACTCCAACGACAGAGATGGAGTCGACACCATCAATATCAAGGCCCAGGATACTGTCCTCCAGACTCGCGAATGCGACATCGTCTGCCCTATCAGCAAGCTCTGGTGCGAGTATCGCCCTTATAACTACCGCTGCGACAGCTCCGGCAAGCTTCGCTACGATCAGCGCCATACCGACTGTGAGAATGCCTCCTGGGGCTGTACCTGCGGCTGCGACTGGCGTGTTCCTGGCATTGAGTCTGTGAAGGAGACGGAGAAGGCTTAGGAGTACTGAGCATGGAAGCCACAGGGATGATTGATCATTGGAAAGCATGACAGACGCGGTATCTTGTGTGTGCATCAGGAGCAGTCAAGTTCGGGATGAAGATTCACAAGGAAAGATCAAGTTTCAGAACGACAAGTTTCGCGCTATAACATGAATACCAATAAACATTATCATGACAAAGGGATCAATCTCTGTCCTATAGGCTTGGATATAGCCTGTACGCACAATGCGCTTCGTTGATGTTGAATGTGGACAGTCTATTGAGGTGATATTCCTAGGCACTCAGCGACATATGCTTCCCAAACAATTAGGAGGTCTTCGTATTGCTCGCCTTGGCTCAGCATGTTGCCATTTCTCTCATACTTTATCCAGTCGATCCTGCCCGGTGCTTATAATTCTCTGTTTATGGAAGTCGAGGTTACGATATCTTCTTCTACACACACATGCTCTTGTGCTGAGCACTTGTATCTACGCTGCGAAAAGAGGGAGGACATATAAGACAGCCAGCCACAGACACCATAGCTTCGCGACAATATCGTCAGAGTTCTCATTCCGCCTCTCCATAGTCAATGCAGCCATCAAGGCTCCCACTCCAATAGGAGCCGCCCAGGCCGCCGGTTGGAGGTTCCAGAACAGTGGACACGCAGTAGACCACAGCAAGACCATCACAGCCAGCCCGCCCCGAGCAATGCCCTCGCCATATAGCAGCGGAATGGTCTTGCGACCCCTAGCTTGATCTCCCTCCATATCTGGGAAGTCCAACGCTTGGACTGTAGTGGCGATGACGGCCCCGGTCACCCCGATCCAAGCCCACGCCTTCGGAAGGAGATCACCGCCAGAGATGACCTCCAAAGCCCCAGCACTGAAACACATGATGCCGCCCGTGTTGATCGCGTTGCGCGCCCAGATATTGATACTGCTCCCGTCGAGATCGTTGTACATCCATAGAAGCGTCATCATCGATATCGTTGGTTTGAATCCACCCATAAACGCGCTTACTGTAACCACGAGAGGTATCATGCCGAGAAGAAGTCGTTGGGCTTGTGCGGGCGTCAACCGCTTCGCAGCCAGTGGCCGCCAGGGTTTGTTATGCTCATCTTCGACGATGGAGTCCGCGAGTCGCTGGTTTGAGATACCGCACACGATCAAGTTGAGCCATATCCATAGGATTGCCAGGGGTAGTCTCTGAATATTGGAGTATTTCGTTTGATCGATTGCTGTCGTGAGTGATTCCCGACTGAACACAGCTGCTGTGATGAAGATGATTTGAGGCGCTAGTACGGTCTTGATATCGCTCCTAGTGAATAGATAGAGAGTCTTGAGATGAAAGGATGCGGTTTGTGCCTGAGAAGGATCAGTACAATGCTTACGGGAGCTTTGCGCAACGTCCAAGCGGAGATGTTTTCTTACCAAAGTCCTGCGCTTAGGCACAGATCTGTAAAGTTCCGGAGCGGGAGCGCCCGAAGGCTTTTCTGCCAAGATGTTGTTCTCAACAACTGTCATGTTGTCGGTCGTATGACAGATCTTTCCTACCAAACCAAAATGTCGCTAAGAATATGAACTGTCAATGCTCCTGATGCTGGCTGAAAGGTGGAAATCAACCTGCTATTTCAATCAGTCGCCAGACTACCAAGGGCGTGGGGAAGTCCGCGCCGAAGATGGCAGTTTGCTTGGCCGGAAAGTCCAAAAATTGTGGACGTGACGACATCGTCTGATGTTTCCGTGTCTGCGCGCCTCGCAACATTGAGAACTGTATCCTGGCAAGAGACGATTGGAGGGTTTCCGTGAAGCAGGCCGGGTTACCCGAAGCTGCGGGACGCAGTTCCAAAGGAGAGTCCAGTCGGGGACATTTGCTGAGGATAACTCTTTTAACTAAGTCTAATCCCGGTAGTAGATTTCGGGAAGCTGAACTCTAGCTGCCTCGTAGCTAAGCGTGAAGGCCGAACTAGCAAACGCAGCTTGTCTCGGGCTGGCCGCACCGCCGCAGTATTTCCCTCTTGAGTCGAATTGTGCCGTGTTACATATTTCGAACACGTTCCTAACCTAAATTGTGGAGAGCTGAAAAGTCCGCGGCCTCGCATCAGATAACGAGCATCCTTAGTACGGTGATAAGCTTCAGCTTTCAAGTTCGACGCCACAGTCTCGTTTGGTCTAGCCCTGCGCCCCACAACACATCAACATGTTCACCGCTAGAGTACTAAACAGTCAAGACATGCATCACCCTGGTGTACTTGACGAGATTGAGAAAACGAGACTGATGGAATGCACTCCGGGCCCACCGTCGATGTTTGAAATTCGATATCTCGGATAGATAAAAGGCATTCGATCACATTCCACTAGCAAGGGAAGCAAGCAATAGTATCGAATTCCAGTACCTTGGTATGATCAAAGCCAGACAAGTGCACTATTAATATAGATCCTGTAAGCCGGGATGATGTCTTTCGCAATTTATCGGACATGATGTGGTGTGCAATTGAAGCCTATTTATCGGCAAGACTGCTCATAATACCAAGTAAAGCAGCAACGACTAGAAGCGGTCAGTCAGCGCGCTCTGTTTGAACCTCCTTCAATACGGAACATGGGATACTTACAACCTCCTGCTGTCACAATGTAGGATGCGATAGACCAAGCGGTCTGAATGGTTGTTGGGTCCGTCCAGCCCTTTGAGTTGAACCAGAGTCCGATGGCGAGGCTTAGCACAACTGGTATGAGAATCACGACGGCAATCCTGGAGACGGACCAGCCCAGCACAAGTTCAAGTGAGAATTTCCCCTTGAGTACGTCATGTGAGTCGCTGTTGAGTTCCTCGTGAATCCAGTCCCCCCAGGCAACTGCGATGTGCTCAGGGACCCGCCATTTTTTGTACGCATGCAGGAGCAATTGCAAGTCCGCAGCACCATTATTATCAAGTTCGACACGCTCATGAGTCCCGTCTTGCGCATTACACTGTAGAAATGGTTAGCCACATCTCCAACACAAGTCACACAACGCACTTAGGTGTCGACTGCTAGGGATAGGGATTAGATAGGGTTTCCTGCTTTTAGTAACTGACTTTGTAAAGCCGAAAGCTTTTAACATGTCTGAGAGAAAAAAGGGTCTTCCAGAAACCGCGTAGGCGAAGAATTTCTTTCTTAAGCTCTCGGAACAATTGTTTTGGCTCATGGCAGAACATAACCCTTTCGACTGGGTTGGGTTGGCCGCTGGGGAAGACGCCTAAAACCACATAGATCGGTAAGGCTCGGGCTATCGTAACGGTGAGAGATTCCCGAGATATGCCAAACAGGCGAGTTTGGAATTTCATCGGCTTCTCTCCCAGGTACGCATTTCCTCGGGGCAAGTGTCTGGCTGATGGGTTAGCACCCCCTGTCTCGACATCGTGCCCTCCATCCCAATTTGCTGATTGTCGGTATTTAGCTGGATACGGAAAGTCGCCTCCCTGTGTGATCTCGACAGAAGAAAAAAGCCCTTCGCGCTTTGTATACCCTCGTTGTGATCGGATGCACTGATTTGGTTGACTGAGAAGATTCTCATACGAATATAGTCCATATAAGTAAAATTTCCAGGTCCTTTCCTGGATAGGTTTTGTTGGCGCTCGCTTCCCTAGTGATATGTGTCTCTGTAAGGCTTTGTTGATGTTCGGTGACTGTCCGTGAATACTAGCATGATCATCTTGCTCTTCCGTAGTCAGTATTGGTCCATTCTCAGTGCTCACGTTGCCAGCGCCTCCAACTCCATCGATATTTGCCGCCATATTTCGGTCCTAGTTGATTCTCCTGGAAGGCGCCGGACAGTTCAGAAATGCAGAATCTGTATTCTCGGGAAGATGAACAGTCACATAAGAAGGGATTGGAGAATGACTTCGAGACGGGTGCTATGCAAATGGGAAGAAGTGTCGACAGCGTCTTTATCAGGCCTTGGGGGAGTACTTGGATGTGCTCAGCCCATGGAATTGGAATCTGTATCACCCGAATCTCACTAGGTTGTTCAGCTGGATGCACTCCCTAGCTTGGCTGCGTCTCAGCCGTGGAAATCAGCGAAGCTCATTCGCTAATCGCGCGAAAAGGAAGTATTCCAAAGAGAAGATAACCTTTTCGACTGGTCAGTCTCGCAAGTCCTAGACTTTGTCTCTCGGCACAGCACGCTATATGCAGGCTGTTGCTGTATGGTGCTTACGCATGTGTCTAACGTAGAATGCCAGCGGATGGGTGATCTGCGACGCAAACTTTGGCCGTAGTCCCTCAGTATAGAAGATCTAGAAAGGGCCGTACCCTGGAATTCGGGATTCGGTCTTGTTGGCCCAGTTGATATAATCAATATTGAGCTCAAAGATATTGGGGATGGCCTGTTATACTGCCTAATTTGATAGTCATATATCGTGAAATGCCAAAATGCTACGAATTGCGCGGGTGGGGACGCTCAATGTTGGCATTCAGATTTGTTTGAACTTGAAAAAAGGTTATTTTATTGTTGTCCAGACATTACTAATATTATCCAGAGTCATAATTCGTCCATCGTATCATTCCTCCACTAAAACATCTGCCAATTAACTAAAGACTTAGGCCTGCACAGGGGTAATCTGGGCCGTAGCCTTCAAGTCTCTGCTGCTCCATCCGAGGCTGAGGGTGAACTCGCCCTTGGGGATGAGCCACTGCTGCGAGACAACGTCCCAGTAGCTGAGATCACGACGCATCAGCTCGAAACCGACCTTCTTGGTCTCACCGACGGCAAGGGGAACCTTCTCGAAGCCGCGAAGCTGCTTGGGAGGAGTGCCGGCGGGCGTGGAGTCGGGGAAGGTGACGTAAAGCTGGGGAACGGCGGCACCCTCGACATCCCCAGAGTTGGTGATGGAGACGGTGGCGTTGTAGATGGTCTCCCAGAGGGCGGGGTTTCCACCGGGCTCGACAGGGCGCTGCTCAGGGGCGGAGGTGATGTCCTGCTCGACGGGGCTGGCCTCGAAGTCGGCGACCTCAAAGGTGGTGTAGCTGAGACCGAAGCCGAACTCGTAGCGGACAGAGATGTTGTGGGCGTCGAAGTAGCGGTAGTCAATCTCGAGCTTCTCGTCGAACCAACTCTGCCAATCGTACCAGCCGGTGGTGTTGATGCCAGTGGTGGGAGGGGCGTTGTAGTCGGTGCCGTTCAGGGCAATGGTGTAGGGGAGTCTGGCGGAGGGGTTGACATCGCCGTAGAGGACGTCGACGAGGGAGTTACCGGACTCCTGGCCAGGGAAGTGGGCGGCGAGAATGGCGGTGACATTGGGGTGGTCGGCCCAGGGGAGGTCGTTGATGCCGGAAGAGTGGGTGACGACAATGGTGTTGTTGCAGTCCTTGGCGACGCTCTCGACGACGTCGTTGCCGTCCCAGTCGACGCTCAAGTGCTGGCGGTCAGCGGCCTCCTCGGCCCAGGTCTTGAGGAAGACGAGGCAGACCTCGGGGGCCTTGGGAACCCAGAGGTCGGTGACATTGGAGTTGATGATGAGGGTGTTGTTGAGCCACTGCTGGACCAGGGCACCATCCTTGGAAGCGCGAGCCTTGATGGCTTCAAGGGGGGTGACAAGGTAGGTCAGACGACCGGTGCCGGAGCCACCACCAGCGACGAGAGTGCCGTACTCGAAGTCAGCCTGGTTGTAGAATCCCTGAGTGTCCTCGCCAGCATCGTTGCCAAAGACAGCGATGGACTTGGGAGCCTTGAGGGGAAGAGCCTTGTTCTCATTCTTGAGGAGGACAGCGGCGGCGGCGCCGTGCTTGCGGATCAGCTCACCGTGGTTCTCACGAACATCACGGCTGCGCTCGCCGGTGAGGTTAAACTCACGAACCCAGGTGGATCTGGGGGAGAAGGTGTTGAGGTCGCCAGAGGAGGGGTCGACGCTGGGGTAGTCCTTATCCTGGTTGAGCCAGTAGTAAGGAGTCATAATGCGAACGATCATGTCATCAACGCGGGCGACGTTGAGAGTACCGTTGTTGACAGCAGTAGTGACGTTGCCGCCGAAGAAAGATCCAGACTTCCAGTCCATGCCGTACCTGCCAATGCCGCCAGGCATATCCATATCGAGACCGGCCTCAATGGCAGCAACACCGGTGTGGGTGGCACCCCAGTCAGACATAACGTAGCCATCAAATCCAAGCTCAGTCTTCAGAAGACCGTTCAGAGACTTGGAGTTCTGGCATCCATAGGAACCGTTGATACGCTGGTAAGAGCACATGAAGGAAGAAGCCTTGGCCTTGACAGCGTTGGCGAAAGGCCAGATGTAGAGCTCATGGGCGGTTCTGTCGTCAACGTTGGAGGAGAGGGCCTGCTCCTCGATGTCTGTAGCGGTACCATTGGGGTCGAAAGTCGGGTTGCGCATGGTCTCCTGCTCGTTGAGGATCCAGTGCTTGGCAGTAGCCTGGACACCAGCATCCTGGTGACCGGTGATAGTTTTTTCCATGGCGACACCAGTCAGGTAAGGGTCGGGACTGAAGCCCTCCCAGTTTCTGCCGGAGTAGGCACTGCGACCGAGGGGGCCAGCGACGGGGCTTTGAGTGGTCAGTAGGTGTTGGCCATAATGAGTGTACGGAGATGGACAAACCTGAGAGCAATGTGGGCGCCCTTGGCCTTGAACTCCTTGCCCATGGCAAGACCTCTCTCGTAGAGGATATCTTTATCCCAGGTGGCTGCAGCAGAGACACCGGCGGAGAAGACACTGGCGTAGTCGGCAACACGGATGGACAGGGGACCATCTTGAAGGCAGAGGCCCTGGAAACCAAGACGAGGGATAGCGACGATGTTTCCGACGCAGGGACCGGGTTGGCCAGTGACCATGTCGGCCTTCTCCTCGATGGTCAGTTGAGAGACGAACTCCCTTGCCTTAGCGAGGGCATCCTCCCAACCGGTACCAGTGATGTTGGCTTCATCGTTGAGTTAGTTAATCTGTTACCAAACTTAGAGAACCGAGAAACTTACGGGAAGGATAGACTGGCTCAGAGTCCCCGTAGGGACCGAGGATGGTGGTGTTCACCGGCTGAATCCAGCTGAAGGCATCTTCAGATCGGTCACCAGAGTCATACGCCTGAGCGTTGACTGAGGGTGCCAACAGAAGACCGGATAGGAAGAGAGACAGAGCTGCGGACATTTTGAGATCCTTGAGCTGTTGACTTGCGGCTTGTGCTGAAGATCCTAAAATTCCATTGATTGGGGGTTACATGCCGTTCTTTATATGTTACCTGTTCATCGTCGGCAGCAACGTCAGTCCACCATACCCTCGTCGCCCTCGCACTCTGCTCGCCGGTGACCTGGATAGACCCCTCCTCTTCCCCGTAACCTCCGCGCGGGCAACGACAAGGTCGGGGAAAACCTGATCATGATCGCGTTCCCATTGGTACTGCACATCGTCATGGTCCGGAAGTCGGCCCCGCACCGGTTGACACCCGAAAGATGCTCACCAAGGCGCGAAGTGGTGGGATATTGGGCAGGGTAATCAGCCGTAGATTTTCCAGCGACGCACGCGATGACTACACTAGGTTTAGTCTCCAGATGGTTGCCAAAACGACGGCAAGGTCCGGAAAAGGCTCTGCTATACACGTGGGGAGGCGGAATCTTGCCGAGTCTCCAGTCTGACTAGAGGTGGCCACAAATCGTCAAATGGGTTGTGGGGTGTAATTCTCTTAACGGCGGATATGACTAGTCATAGAATCGCTGGAACAGCTGTTGAGCGGGAAGATCGAGTCATTGGGCCTCTAGAACAATCGACTCTTTCATCAGGTCTCAGCATCCTTCACCGCCCGGCTTCCAGAACTACCAGCGATAACTCCGCATCAGGCCGACTGCTGGATGCCAACATGGGGTCGCTTTACCGACGACGGGCAGAGTCTCTAGAGTACGGAGTAGAATGGAGTAATAATCACAAATAGCGCGCCTGACTGTCGGTGTTTGCGCCGTAGCATTCAAAGTTAACTTCCGGAGAACTGCCGCTGTGGGCGGGACAAGGAACACGAGCCAATATGTGGGGGATGCGGATCGGGTGACAGCTGGAAAACCTGGAGACTCCAAGCTTTTGTTCTCCTGAGCGAACCCCCGGTCCGAACACTCTCTCACCTCACTCAAAGCTTGCTCCGTACCGGCTTTTCAAAGAGCAGAAGACCGCCCCCGGCCTAATCCCAGCCACCCCCGCCCCCGCCGTTAAGGTGAGTGGACCACTGGGACACACGACTTTGTGTGGAGGTCCGACATTGCGCCGACACTAGAGGACTGTAGACGCAGGTTTTTTCTTTGAAATTTCTTCGTGATGGCGGTTGGAGTAGCTCTTTGGGGGAATCTCTTCACGAACACTCAGAAATTGAGGGGACTCTGGGGGCCAAGGCCGTGGAACTGGTCGTCCCAAATCGGAGAGAAAGAATACTCTGTCCCAGTGCCCCCGGCTTCCCCGCACATCTAATCGGCCCTGTTCTTCGCCCTCGGGTCATGATTTACGCTGAAAACCGAGCCTCGTGCTCCTTGGAACATGTCATAGAGAAGGTCGAGGAGCCTGCCGCCGGTAAAACAACGGTTATTCAGTAACGCTGAACTGTTGATCGGCCGATTAGCGCGGAGTCCGGTCTTAACGCCAAGAGTCCGTCTTGATCCATGGCAGAAAAGCCGTTCACGATGCCGATGATGGTAAAATAGTTGCGTACGCGACTTCATTCTCCCGATATTCCCAGTGTCCCGGTGTGAGAGGTCTCGTGAGCGGCGCCTACGTCATGATAATTCCACGCCCGGGCAGAATGCCGGCATTCG